TGTCGTTTTTTTCTATCCATTTAATAGGTGTAGGTACCAGTAAATATTCACAACATAGAGAAAAGACAAAATTTCGTATAATTATTAAGTTACAGATCACTAAATAAAATATCATAATATAATTATAATACAAGAATCTAATTATTTTACTGGAAACGATTTTATTTTGATAATTCATAAGCCAGTGTCGTTTTCAAAGAATAGACATTTATGTAGCTACATAAACATATTGTATATTATATATTTAAAATACGTTACGTGTAACGTATTTTCATGGCTGGCTGATAGTGTTTTGGTTAACATCACGCAAACGCCTCATAAGCAATATCATAAACAGTGTGAAAACGTTTACAAACCCGCCGGGTCAGCTATTCCTCCGGACGGATTTTACAATATCCAGCGAAATACACTGTGCACCGTGTTACGAAACCAAAACATAATTATTATTTTATTTTTTGCTTTGGAAATTGTATTACAGCATTGACTTTAAAGGTTATTAGCTCAACACAAATAAAATGTATACAGTAAACATGTGTGCATTGAATGCGGTTTGGGTACAGTATAGGTACTAATGTAGTATCTAATGCCTATATTACAATTATATGAAAATAAACATTTTAAATCAAAAAAATTGAAATCTGGCCATATATTTCATAGTTTTGTTTTTAAAAATACACCGTACAATTTGTTATTAGACAATTGTCACAATGAGCATATCCAGAGGTAAATCTGATAATTAATATTATAAAACTTTCACGATTTTTCACGTTAAAAAAAAGTTTTCAAAATATTTGAGAGTACCTACGATGCACCTACCTATCTAAAAATCTACAATGAGTTTTTGCCTCGGTTTTTGCCTCACTAAATTTTTACAATTTTTGAGAAAGTTCCATTCAGAGTCAGAATAGGTGTATTGTAATTACGCGTTTAAAATTCAAACATAAAGGAATATCTGAGGGCATATCCTATCTCTAGAGACCTACCCGACGTCGTCAGTATCAGCACATTTTATAAGTACTTATTTTTTGTTTACGCACCACAATATAGGAATAATTAAGAATATCAAAGCCCACCGAATAAAATGTGTGCCAGCCTAGAACATAATCAAAAATATTATAAATTATAATAAATTCATTGGTTAAACCACAAAATATAGTATATTTGTTTAAAAGAGCAAATAATCTAGAAACGAATCCCTCAATTAATTTGGATTTTTAATTTTAATTTTAAATACAAATTATATTTATTTCCAAACAAATCTAAAAGATAATAATAAATAATAATTGTGCATTTGTGAATTTCCTGCGTTGTAAACAACTGATTTATGGGAAATACATTTAAAAAAAACATCTCGAAAACACAAATTCGTTTACTACAGCTTTTTTGTATTTAAAAATTCTAATTAATTGTGGAATTAGTTTCTAGGTTATTTGCGTTGAAGACGCGCCTTAAAATTGTAAATTCATATCACGCACATGGCACATTATGATATTATTTTTTCGTAATCATAATATTGGTTTGTTTAAGGTGGTTCTTAAGTTACGCCCTTGTTTGAAGATGGTGTTGGTTCGACGAACTCTCTCGGGCAAAACTATACTTAAACTGATAAATCACTTAAGGTCTCAAAACAACAAATATCAAATACATACCTATTGGGCTATTCAGAGGTTTTAAAAATCAGGGGATCGTTGTATGCATGTAAAATAGTACGACAATATGTTATTTTAATTTATTTCAGGTACTCAGGTAGTAGGTACATTTAGTATTGCGTAACCCTGACTGAGGTTAAAACGGTTGGCATGTAAAACAGAATAATAATAATAATAATAATAATAATAATAGATAAGACGAATGATACAATATTATTAGTAGCTTATAATATGCAAAACCGTCATACTAAATACTGAAACACTATATTATTAAAACGCAACTCCGAGTACGGTTCTTGACTTGAAAGGAGAATATAGGTAGGTTGGTACTTGGTAGTTAGAGGTAGGTGCATTGAATATTCATAACGATTCAAGAATAACGACATTTCTACTCTAAAATTAAAGACGTATTTATATTTTATGTCTACGATCAATTATTTGTAATAATATTGTGATAATAATATAAGTCATTACGTCACATCGGTCAGAAACATGGTCATGTACTCATGTATTATTATTATTATTCACCTGCGAGTGCGGACAATTAAGTAACAAAACAATAATAATATTAATATATCATACCTTAGAAAAAAACAGGTTGCATGGAAAATATTTAGGTCCATCGCTTTCCATCGCTATTAAAACTATCATTTATTTTACTTAAGTCCCTTAAAAGGCGAATTTACACTGCTTCCGGGATCCGTGAACCCTGATTTCGGAAAAAAAAATTTGGGGCGTGATAAGCTGAATCTTGAGGTTATCTAGTGGTTAACCACAATGGTTATAACTTATAAAGGTGGGTTCACGCTGCACTGTGTCATGTCATGAACTTTTTCCATTTTTCAAAACATGATACTAGTCCATAAATGAGTTCTTCATTCAATTGATATCAAAATAAATAATAATATTTGATTTCATGTATTATCATTTATCACTATTAAATCAGTAAACACAAGTTTAAAAGTTGGAAGAAATCAACTTCGTGGTATATGTGGGAACATCATGGTATTCGTATTAGAATCCGTAAAGTTGGAGGTAGAAACCAGATTTAACCACGAGGATGTACCAATCTGAGCACGGCAACATTTCACGATACGATGCAGTGTAAACCCACCTTGAGAGATATCACGTTATACTGTCTATATTGTTATATTTGTCTATTCAGTTCCAATAACCAATACCATGGTTGAGTTTGTTTAAAATCTGTGCTATTACGGAATACCAAAGGTAAAATAATTTATAATTTATATGGTTACACCACAGTTCATTTACATAGGTACCGCACTCGGCACTTACAAATTATTTCAACCTTACTAACATTTGAAACGTTGGTGCTCGTATTAACAAATAAAATTTGGAAATTTGAGCTGACTAGGTGGTGATTGTGTCATTGGGATAACGAGAAATCAGTTACCAATTACTATTATGTTCACAACTTCACTACAAAAATGAGATAATATAATATTATTACAGAAATCACGGATAATTATTTTCCTGGAATCACGGTTCATGGAGCTGCAGTGTACCTTCATAGTCGTGAATCGTGTTTTAATATTATTATCATTTTCGTATAGAAGTGTTCCCTCGAGTGTTCCACACTAAACACCAAACACAACGGCGCCGAACCCAATCAATTCAAGTCGGCGAAGCGTCCGCGGTACATGTTTCATGCTGCAAAAGCGCTTGCGCGACATTATTTAACGATTCTATTGCTATTAATAAACTATGGGTTTAATTTTAGTGCGCGCAGACTGTATAACGGCTAAAATAGTATGTCTCAATGTTATATAAGACGTGGACGAATAGACAATAACATGACTGTATAATAATCAAGTCTTATCAAAATTCTTCAGTAAGCGGGTATCTAAATCCGAGAAAACCGGATCGTTTTTAGTGAACCCACCGACATCACGAGTTCTACGTTTTGATATTATGCACACGGGTAATGTAAGAGGATTTAATCAGATTGACCCCTCAAAAATTGTATGAATAACCACATTGGACATTGCAATATTAAAGTTATTTATTCTATTTTGTTTCATTATAAGCTGTTTATTGTCAATACGCGTATATAATTTTTATGACTTGTTAAACTCATATTTGTATTAATTTTTTTTTGTTGAATTTGTGTTCTATGTTTAATATTTGAAATAGTTAACAGCCATACGATAAATAAATATGGTGAATTGTAGTAAATTGTTGCCCCTCCTCCCACAACCGACAAAATGCAGACGTATTGTTTAAAATAAAAAAAAATTGACCGAATAGACGTGTTGACGCACAGTTTTTAGAAATCTTTGGAGAATCGAAGACGATTTATATAAATCGGTTACGCCGTAGGTACCTAAAATAAACAAAATCATTTATAACAGACGTGCTGCGCGTTTGCTATCGATTACTATAAATAAATAACATCTTTCCATTTTAATTTAGCCACAGATTGGCTACAGAATATTTTTTTACTTCACACTAATTACTCTGTTTTTTTTTGTATTCATTTTTGAGAACACGGCGAAGTGAATTATTCACATTTTTTTATGTATTTCTCAAGTGCACATATTGACATCCATCAAGTCGACGGCACACTATGTTATTATATCAATTCCTACTGCACAATTAGTGCACCGTTGCACTTTGAACCTGACTTGACTATAGCACCGTGATAATATTCAACCAAATCTATCAGACGAATATCGTCAACTACCTAAGGTAATATTCAATAATTATTATTGTTGTCAGTCGTCGTTTAGCGGCTCGAACACCCGCCGAGAAAGCCAGACTCCGCGTAGAAAACGGCGGTTTGGCGGTTAATGTTATTTTACCGTCCCCTCGCGGTCCGATTGCCGCGGCGACGACACGCGGGGGACAGGTGTTCGGTCCCGCGGATAGGTACCATGGCGTACAACAATAATACCATCACAGTCGTTACATTTCAAATTTAAATTATCATTACAGAGACGGTTTGTTCTCAGTGTAAAACTGTTTTTTTTTTCGAAATACGACAATAAAATTACAACGGTAACGACGTACGTCGGCGTAGCTATAGTCGTCGACACGGACGTGTCATGCCGACGTCGCCGAATTCACGACAACGAATGGTAACTCGCGACCAAGGTTACCACGTCTCCGGTATTAGGACGACCTTAATAATACACTCGGAGTAAAAGTAAGAGAGCGAGAGACGAGTGAGTGTAAGTGGTGTTTCGGCCGCGAAATCTTAACGATTAGACGGTTAACGGGACATGGCTGCTTTAGCCGTCGTCAAGTGTCAACGTTACCGTCATCCCGCCGTGCCAAAGACGACGGCAACGATAATATTATTACAGAGGTATTCAACCCTAAGGCACTCACCGGCTTAAGCGGGGAATATTCGTCCGGAGAGTCGAGACACTCGCGGTGGTCGTATCCGTAGTGCAGCGAGTGTCGACGATTTATATAGATCGACGGACACGATTTCTAACGTTTCTACAAAAAATTCCAAAAACAACCGAACCGACGAGAAATATTTATGAAACTTATCGCACTCCACAAGACGACACAAATCAGATGCACATGAGAGGCACGCGAGTGGACGACGACGACGACGAAAACGAAAAACGATCGCACACACGAACGGACGCAAACACACACGGTGACACACGGATCCCAACGATAACCGTTAGCGACGATGATGCCGGACGAACTGCCGCCGCGCGCTCACGAACCGACTCGGTACGGTTAACCGGCCGGCCGGTGTCGTGTCGGTCGCCGTCGACGGCGTTTATTGCCGGTGGGTGGCATCGGTGGGTGCGCGGCGGTCGGGAATCGGGATCGGCTCTCGCTCTCTCTCGCTCTTCATTCGCTCTCAGTCGCTCCGCCGCCGCAGTCGTGCCACAACACGCACGCGCACGTGCGATCATATGCCGTCGCCGCCGCAAAGACGGTTTTTTCTGTCTTTCAACGCTGCCGCCATACGACTTCCTTCGGCGCGTTTCGTTATATCGTCATAATTATACATAACATTATAAATTATAAAATATATTCATTTCTTGTGTATTTGTATATCAACTATAATTGCATACGCGGTTCCAGAGGGGGTGGAGAGATTTTCCGAGAGTTTTCTTATAATAAAAACTGTCATTCTTCAATATCCTATATGAATATGATGATATAAAAAAATAATAAACCTATTGTATACAGTTTCGCAACTAAAGTTCAAATCTCGGGGTTTCTACAATAATTTTGAAGCTCTCGAGGAAACCGTGAGATATCTACCCCCCCCCCGCGCCCCTCCTACCACACAACAAATTTCGATATTACATGTTTTCATTTAATTTAAACTATTATAATATCATATTTTATTCAGGTGATATTGTTTTAAAAAGGTATCAACTTATTTCATTTTTATTATAATTGTATACGTTACATGATATTGCTCAACACGACGTTCTGCGTTCATGTAAGCAAAAGTGTTTAATATTTTTTTTCTATCTCAATAATTTCATCGACCAAATCTCTTAGGATGTTTTGTATAGTTGATAATACCTCATACCTACGGGAGTTGGCGAAATCTAGCCGTTCCATAAACCGCTTCTTAACACAATTGTTTAATCTCCTCGTATTAATAAAAACCATATACTTTTACATATTGCTTCGCCATAAAAAATAAATGTCCCCAAACCTTGCAGTATACATTTTTAATGATGTAATGATGTGAATTTTTTTTCCGCGTGGCCGTCGGTCGTCGTGTCACGTGAATCCACTTTATACGATCATTGATTGTATTGTCTTATTCTATGGTATTATAAATTATAATATTATCGTCACCTGCGTCCAATAACTCAACATACGACCTAAGACCTACGTATGAAATTCATAATATTTATAATATTATTGTTACCACGAAAAGGGGGTCGTGGTATGTAGTTTTTTTAACCTCCGTTATTATATATACATTGTACACACATACCACCCGATACCGGGCACTAGCGAAACTGAACGGTATTTGGGCGTTATGAATTATTATGTGCTGCTAAGAGAAACTACAACGGAATTTAATAAAACTGTCAAATTGTCAGCTGATAGGAAATAACTATGGGAAAAAACCTATATACTTGTGTGGTAACATTGTTAGGATTTGCTCAAAAAATCAAATATTCTATTATACATACACATATAACATATATATTATATATATATTATAAATCTACACATCGTATCATCATCGTATACGTTAATATACTGCATGTATTGAATCGATATTTTATATTTTTTATTATTATTTTATACGCATTATTCATTATTAAAGTACAAGATTTTATTCTCTCAGACATTCGAAAGCCGTAAAAATCAATGTATGTATTCATTTTGTTTTAAAGCCCGCGAGGTGGGCCGAAATACGATATCTTAAATATTCTACAATATTTTAATATTATTATCTCATTCACACTTATCCATCCTTGAAATCCCAAATAAATATATTGGAAGTTGTCGAGTTGAATGATATCTATTTAAATCACTAACCAGGTATAATACAAAATAATATAATATGTCCGACGGTAAATGATCATAACGAATATTGATCAACAAATTATGTATAGGTGTTTTCAATCGATATATAGAGCAATCCTTCAATACATAACGTTATGAAATCTACACTGATGTAGTATAAAATAATATTTTTAATTTTTATTGTCGTGTAAGTTATCATTAAAAGTCACAAATAAATCTTAAGTCTATATGCGCCCAACAATATAAGATACTATAATTTGTTTTTAACCCATCACATGTTACGAAATAAATTTATAGCATCTATGGGTGAAGTTATAATAATGTATAATTGTACAATAACAACCTACGACAAACAAGATAATGAATTCATCACGGTCGTCAACCATAATCAATGGAGACTATTCTATGATCCACTTGTCACTTCAGCACCATATAACACTTGGTTGGTTGGCGGGTGGGTATATAGTTATTTATTACACAACATCTCATTATGTAGCGTAACATAATTTAAATAAAAAATATTGTACTTTAATGAATCATTGCATACCTAACAAATAATATTATTAATCACCCAATTGTCTACTTTTTTTAACCAAATACAGCCACGTTTAGATGGGATGTGGGGAAGTCCTCAGAAATATCCTCAGCAACACATTTACTGTTTTGAGAATAGCCGCCATGAAGTCCATAGTATAGGCATTAGGTACTTTACTGGTAAAAATAAAATAACTCATCACAAAAATGTTGAAAAGTGTAGTTGTACATAAGCCGTAGATCGTAGTATTTATTTATTTATACATACACATTAAACGCGCCAATAAAATTAAACCACGAAAAACATAGGTAATGAAAATAATAAATAATAATAGTAATAATAATAATTGAAATTGTTAATAAGTGTTTCCTCTTTAATTCCATCCAACTCAAAAAAAATTAAAGAATAAAAAAACAATAAATGTTATATTGTTCACAAAATATAGTAAAATACTTAAAAAATTTGACATTTCGTGCTGCATAATATTGTATGCGTAATGCGTACGTCTCTTGAATAAGAGCTAAATATTAATTTTTGATGAATTAAAAATAATAAAAAATTAAACAATTATTTTTTAATAATAAAATAAATTATAGAACTTCAATAAAAATACAAATAATTGGATGATAATTAATAATACAAATAGGTATCTTACTCAAAAGTAATCAGTCCACGATTAAAATGATAATCATAATATTTACGGTATAGTACAGAAAAGAACGCGGAGAATGACAGGGTAAATATTATTTTACCTGAAAAAAAAAAATAATAATCGTAAATGACACAAGACATTACCACGCGTAAGGAATGTGCAGGAATGTGTATTCATGAGTTATCGGGGTTGAATTAGTATTTTTCTATTGAAAAAGATGAGTAATATCAAAATTCAAGAATAAAACTGTCAGTGCGAACGGTGAAATGTCAATATACTTGGGGTGAATGTGTCCCGAATAAAAGTATGGTCTATACGTACAATATTCAAATATAGACGTACAGGCCAATACTTATAGGTATATTAAAAAAAAAATTGAAAAATAAGGGCGGAAATACATCATGATATTTTTTCAGTGGAAAAAAAAACATCAGAACATTTTATATATTATCTCATTATACCCTCGAGGCCTCAAGTATGAAACCTTCCCACGATGTATTATATACATTATACTTCTCAATAATAATTAAAATTGTTTTTATAGATATACATTTGGTCTCCATAGATCTATTCATGTTTGCTGTATAGTTGCACTCTTATACATTATATTTTGATTTTATTGAAAACGTATAATAACACGGTCAAAGGGAAAATGTACAAGTCGTTAACTAAAATATCAGTTTTATTTTTATATGCATTCATAAAATATAAATCCGTTTTAGTATTTAGTATTTGCATAGAATCGTAAATATCTTGTATATGACTAGAAAAAAATATAATTTTATCAACGTATTAAACACGCATATATTGGTAATATTGCTATATTTGTCTATTGATAATGAGTTATGCGTACCTGTTTATAATTTAAATGGATAACAGTTATTTACAAAATAAATATACGCGTATATTTAAAATGTATTCAAGTACTGTATTCAATGATAAAATGAAACCTAAAGGTCCAACTCAGACGTAATATATTATTCAATCGGCAATTACATATTATAGGTAGGTACACGATATGTAGGTACAACATATTATTACGATAATAGAATCAGTAATTTGGTAAATAATCTATTAAATAAATACTTTATTCGTGTAGCTGATCGTGATTCGTGAATGCATACAGGTTAAGTGTAACATCTCGCGTTTGTTCAATAGCCTAAAGAGTGCTTAGGGACACAAAAAAAAGACGAATTTACGACAATTTTACTGGTTTTTGTACGTAGTTTTTTTTTTTTGATTTTCTCGCTCAAAATAATGGGAATTTTGCAATTTTTATTTAACCAAAGTACAATCTAGATACAATTTCCAATTGATTTCATACACTATATGGAACTTTTGTAGCACGTTTACTGCACACTAAAAGTGTTTTACTGAAAAAAAAGTATAACACACCATTGTAAAGTCGATAGCTTTTTCGCTCTGCTCGGAATATAAAATGGTTATAAAAGTAAAAGACAAAAATAAAAGATATAAAAATAATTTAAAATTTAAAAATCCGGAGAGTTAAACTCTTAAAAGGAATTATGGCTTAATCATTTTATGTAATTAAAATATTTAATAAACGTGCATCATAAAAATTCAGTAAAAATACATTGACTATAATGTAATATATACTTAACAATAATATTTTGAATTTTTGAATGTCTATTCGAATAGATATATATATTGTCATATTGACTGTTAGCAAATACTTGATTGAACATTTCCAAAGGTTGGCGTTAATGTTTAAAATGAATAAGTCCTTTTGTTTTTATCTAAATGTAGACCATTTTCGAATAAACTTAATTTATTGTTTATTCATTTTGATTCATTGCAATGCTTCTTATAATAATTACATAAAATATACATTAAAAAATAATATGAAACAATCGGACATATAGTGATATCCTCTCGATTCCATTACTACAGATTTATTTTTTATTGTTAGTTGAAACTATTTACATATTTATAATTATCTTATATCTTGGTAAAAATGCTATGCAACATGCTAATATGCAAATTATATTATATATATTTAAGAGT